ATGAAACAACTTGATCAAAAAAAGTATTATATGAAACAATTTCACAAGATTAAACAATTTCATGAAAAAATTTCATAAGATTAAACAATGAAATCGACGGATGAAGGTGGTTTGCACGGTTTACACAAATGAGGGCGGTTTTTATTTGATCACTCCTATATATATATATATATATATACATTTTTATTGAATATTTTATATGTATTTTTTTTTGTCTTAGAACACAATGAATTAATAAATACTACATGTTTCTCATAAATCTGTTTCCACTCTCCCTCTTTTAATTTCAAAAACATGCATTTTTTTCTATATGTACAAAAAATGCTACATGGTCTCAACAAACTCAATTATATTGACTAAAAGGGTATTTGTCCTACCATAGTTCTTGGTTTTCTAGGAGGTCAGGAGTTCAAACCTCACTAAAGGTAAAGAAGGTGTGTGAATTTATTTGTTACATTTACCGTATATAAATACTATATACTTAAAAAAAACTTAATTATATCGGAAATGGTAATATGAATTTGATTTTCATGCTTATGTTATCTCATTATTAGATAGGGTCGTTTTATACATATATCATGGATTTTGAGAGTTACTCTAGGTAATATGAATTTGATTTTCATGGGGGAACAACCCTATTAATTATCTTTGATATAATTATCGATTTTTTTGTTGGTATAGTTTATTATAAATTAATTAACGTTCACGTATAGCATACGTATTTTTGATAGTTCCCCTCCCTGTAAAGATTCTCTTCTAGAGATTGTGGATAAATCGTTTATTTGGATTTTGGCTAGCTGTAAAAGGGAGTGTTAAAAACCCGATAACGTGGAGATATCATCCGATCGACAATCCGTAATGTAATTGTTCCTCGTTTGCTAGCTTCTTGCTTGCCCGTAATAAAGTTCCGAATCTTTTTATTTATATCTTACACTTAAATCTTAAAAATTTCGTTGATAGAAGTTCATGTGCATGTGACTTTTTTGCCCATAGGGGCTGTCTACTAAACACTTGTCCCACATTTTATACTTTCTCGGATTAACATGACAAAGATTAAGAACCTTACCGAGTAAAAGCGAGGACAAGGACCAAAAGTATTATCTAGTAAGTGAAAGTAACGACGACTCTTACTCGGTAAGTGCTTACCGAATAAATTGTTGCAAACGATTCCGTTTCAATGGACTAAAATCTTACTTGATAAGTTAAGGTAAAGTGTCGATACTTACCATTAAGCGTTTATTGGATATACATTGGATAAACAACCCTTACAGATGATATGTATAACATCCGTTGATATGATTCATATTGAAGCTTGCTAGGTACATTATGAAACTAAATTTTAACACGATCTTCAAAATTAATTAAAAATATAGTAATTCATTCATATGCATGTTTAATCGAATGAAAACCCTTGAGTACAAGTATAAATGTTCTTTAATAATAAAGAATAAATGACAAATAGAAAATTCCATCTCCAAAAAGAGTCAAAAATGCTATTTTTTCTCGTTCTACAAATAACTTATAATGATAACATATTAACAAATAGAAAATTCCATCTCCAAAAAGAGTCAAAAATGCTATTTTCTCGTTCTACAAATAACTTATAATGATAACATATTAACAAATAGAAAATTCCATCTCTAAAATTTGAGTTTACAAGCTTTTCCTTAAATATGAGCATATAAATCTTTTACATAACCACAAGGGTGCTGCCTAATTGATTTGAGCTTGGCTTCAAAGGTCAAAAGTACCAGGAGATCTCAGATTCAAATCCAAGGAGAAATAAAAATCCCCCTATGGTCACGAGGGTTCATATGCGGTGACTCCGGGCTATCTGCAAAGTAGATGATCGTCCTGAAATTAGTCAGCTTGCATAGCGGGTTGAATATCCAGGTTAATAAAAAAAAATAGTTTACATAAAATTTATGATGAATCAAAGTTACAATTTCCAAAAAATAATCATATAAAAACACAATATATATATATATACACACACACAGGGTTGGATTCACGTGAGACTACTTTTTTACACTTGAAACTTCACAGCAAAATGTTGTGAAGATAAAAGAAAGCCAAAGCTTCACAGCGTTTTGCTGTGAAGTTGCAAGTGTAAAAAAGTGGGCTAAACAGACTGGTTTCACGTGATACCAAGTCTCTCTCTCTCTCTCTTTCTCTCTCTATATATATATATATATATATATATATATAATACACCCTATTTATCTTCCATAAATATTTAAATCATAATAAATGAACTTTCATTATTTCTATAAATATCTTAATTAATTGAGTTGCATTAGTTGTACAAATGGACATGGTTGCATTTGAAATATACCCTATATATATATATATCTATATATATATATATTTGTGTTAAATAGTGCCCAATAATAATAGTTAGTACTTGAATTTTTATTTCACACGATGCATTTTTCATGTAAAATAACAAAACATTATTTAATACTTGTTCATTTTAGCCTATGTATTTCTATGCATCACAACAATAGTTAAAAATTTCGTTCATTAATAATGATTTTCTTGAATTTTAATGTTATATATTACAATGTGATTATCACACAAACTGTAATTAATGCTTATAATTTAGCAAAAAAAAAAGGAGAGAAATATCTGTTAAATATGTGGTTATTTTGCATGATAATAATATATAGCTAAAATCATATGAATTTACCTAAACTATGTTTCATTGTCTATATTAACAATAAGGTTTTTGTATTGATATTTAAAATTTGAAGGAGTCTTCCCCAACGACTTGACGCGACCTAGGGTTGGTCGACCACCTATTTTCTATTATTTCTTTTTCCACGCGCCCACAGATCCCCACCATAACCTTTTCTTATTAGAATATCAAGTTTATATATACAAGGTTGAATTATGGTGAGGAGGAAAGTTAACACCAAAAACATTACAAGAAATCTTTATTTTTGGATGCATATTAGAATGAGATATACCATATCAGTGTATCAAACGTGATTCATGAGTGAGTTTGATGTTAAAGGTGATTAAGAGTCCAGATCACTTCTTAAAGCACTTTAACTCTCATTCTCACATGATTATTCGCATATATATATATATATATATATAATACGTATCTCGACTCTTTGGATGCACATTAGGGTGAGATTCACCGAGATGAGATGCATCTGATCGATCCCCATATCAAACACGATTCGTGGGTGAGTGATCCTTTCATACGTTTCTCACCTTAACTCTCATATCTCACATGA